ATATATATATATATATATATATATATATATATATATATATATATATATATATATATATATACCCCTCACCTCTGCAGGCACATAGTGCTGGTTTGTTGTGTTTTGTTGCCTCCTCATCTCTGGTTCCCCAAGTAAGTTCTCCCTGACATATTATTATATATATATTTGGTTCTAAGTATTTTTGTATATTTCCTCAGTTGATCCATTTAATCTGCAACATTGACCTCTCTGTACCTGCATTTGGTTCCTGAAAACCTCAACCCAACTGTTTCTTTTATTGTCACAAAAATGATTAATAATTTTTTTTTCTTCTTAAGGGAGTTTTCAAACTGGCATCATAAGGTAGATTTCTCAATTAAATAACATTTGAAATGGGTGAAATAATTTAACCGGAAACTGTAGTTTTTGTTATTGAAGAGTTAAAATAATTTTTTTCTCTATCTTTCTTTATTGAAATACCTGGGTACAGTGAGTGTTGGATCAGCAATAGTACAGCTAAAAGGAAATTAATTTATATTAGTCAGGCCTGAATAATTATTCTACTATTTATTTCTAAAATAATCCAAATAGAGAAGTTAGAGGCAAAAAACAAACATAAAAAAGAGTAATTTAATTACATGTAGGCCATAGTGGTCTATATTCTTAAGATGTATGTGTGTTGCAAGAAAAGAATATGAGCTAGTACCTTTATTTTATATAGTACCTAAAAGAATTTAAAATTGCTTTCCCACCTGCTCTTTGTTAAATGCAACAGTGACAATAATTTCTTTCTAAAGTTTTTTTTCAATATTGTTCATCTGATATTTAGGAGTTAAATCAGATGTTTATACACAGCAAACTGTATATATTAAAGCATTTCACTTCAAACAAGATGAAACACCAGAATCCACAAAAAGACTGTAAAAAAGCCCTTTCACCATGTTAAATTCCCTGAGATTCCTCAACTGGACTGTGGGCTCAGCCCCCAATTTTCCAAGGTCCAGACCCCTGATTCCACCACAAAATGTGTAAAATAATATTTATGGATAATGCAGTTTCTTTAAAAAAAAATCTTTATTGTGGCAATCACAAGATCTTAATATCTCCATTTCAGCTCTTGTGTATCACAAGCTCTCATTGAAAAATAAATAAATGAGCCAGGTTGTGAGACTTTGGAAAGAGTCATCTTTCCTCACAGATCAGGTTTTTGTTACTGGCTCTCCTACACTGTACTATCACACATAACTATGCATGAAGCACCGTTATGTTTTTTCTTTTTTTTTTTTTTACTTTCGTAAGGTGCAATATGAATAAAAATGAGTAATATTACTATTTTTATGATAATCATTATAACTCCAAGGCTCTATGCAATTGAAACACTTCTTTCTTTTACAGCTACATTCTAATTGTTAGCTGAACACAAAGTCTGCTAATTTTAATGGGTAGACTCAAATTAATTTGCATCACATTTGTACAGCAATCTTTGTAGACCAAGCATGAAATTTAGTGTCTATGATTTGAAATCTTGAAAACCAGGTCCATAGTCTCAATAGCACATTGCTACCCTTGTGGGTACACACAGATATTTACTATTGCTTATACCCCATGAAGACACACAAGAGCTACCCCTGTATATACACTAGGGCTGGGCGATAATTCAATAACGATATATATCGATCGATAGACGTGTGGCGCAATAGAAAAAAAGAGGGTCGATAAAAGTTCGATAAAAAAAAAACGCAGTTTTCCTTCCTTCTCATTGTAGCCTAGCATGTAGGTTTATGCTAGTCACTGCTTCCTCCAAACCAATCACAATCGCGGACCCAGGCACACCGTCACCAAGCGCCGCCC